CGGATTTAAAAAATTTTTTTTATTAAAAAAAAAATGTCAACACAGTTTGGGATTTTTGGTGACTAAAAGTATGTTCTTTTAGTGCAAAATGCATTGTCTTTATTTTAACTAATGATTAATTTAAGCAACTGCAATTTTAGAAAGCCTTAATCTGCTATATCAGTGAATTATGGCTACAGACAAAAAAATGAAGAAAATGTCAGTCTAAAAGGAAGGGGGGGGGGGGGGGGGTAATTATGCATAGACAAACTTGCATTTTATTTTTATTACAGTGCGTGTGTGAGCACGCGCTTGTGTTTGTCTAAAAAGAAAAAGAAAATGCTAATTTCAATTATGAAAAAAAAGTAAATTGAATACTGTATTATTTTACTACTTACAGTGACCGGGGGGGAAAAGCAGACTTTTAAGCAATTTTAGTCTACTAAACCTTATATCTGTTTTATAAAACCAAGGAAAGAAATTCTGAATGTTTAAAGATGTAAAAACAGAAAACATTTTTTTAAAGTGAGTTTTATTTTTAAAATCAAGTTGATTTAAATAAAAAAAATCAACTGATTTAAATCGACCCGATTTAAATCAACCCGACCCTGGTTTTCAATTATGAAAAATAAGTAAATTGAGAACTGTATTATTTTACAGTGACAGGGGGGAAAGCAGACTTTTAAGCATGATTATATTAGTCTACTAAACCTTATATCCGTTTAAAATAAAACCAAGGAAAGGAATTCTGAAAGTTTAAATATGTAAAAACTGAGTACATTTTTTTTGAAAAGTGATTTAAATCACTGATTTTTATTTTTAAAATCAAATTGATTAAAATTTTTTAAAAATCAACTGATTTAAATCAACCCAGCTCTGATTTCAATTATGGAAAAAAAAAAAAATTGAATACTGTATTATTTTACAGTGAAAGGGGGGAAATCAGACTTTTAAGCATGATTATTTTAGTCTACTGAACCTTATATCTGTTTTATGAAACCAAGGAAAGGAATTCTGAATGTTGAAATGTGTAAAAACCGAATAAAAATAATTTAAAAAAAAAGTGATTTAAAAAATCAAGTTGATTTAAATTAAAAAAATCAACTGATTTAAATCAACCTGATTTAAATCAACCCAACCCTGTCCCTGCCGCCGGTTGTTCACCCAGTACACGCAAATGGCAATGCTTCTTTTCCCTTTAAAATTACTCCCACATTTTTAAAGATTACGCAAAAACCGCTAAACACATAAGCTTGACATTTTAAGGGAATAAAGAAAAATGGTGTACAACTTATCAGTCACTGAACCACTTTCGCAAACATTTTCGACTGCTTCTTGGATGGGTACAAACTTGTCAATCTGCATACTAAGAGATTGACCTCTATTCTGATTGGCTGTCAAGTTTCATTCATATATTATATCCATTCTCGAGAAGCGGCGTGAGAGCGAGTTGAAGACAACAACCATTGTGTTAGTTCGTCCCACGAAACACCCCCGCGGCGGGGGCCAAAAATCGGCAGAACAAAACGCGCTCGGTGGGCATTGCTAATATAATTCCATTATTAGAATTTATAATTTGTCTTGTTTTATCATACAGAGCTTGCTGTTTTCAATTACGGGGAGTGCTTCCGTTTTGATTGCGTTAAAAAAATCATGCTGTGCCCTGCAAGGAGACTCACGACTTTCTGCCGGAGGGGAAACGGGACATTTTAGTGTCACCCTTAATGGTTTCGGCTTGATGGAAAGCTGAATTCGTCTCCGTATTGAAAATGGGAGAGGAAACGTAAAGCAGCGTAGCACCGATATTATTTAAACAAACGTACTGCGGGTTCACCAAAGACAGGTCAGCACTTGAAAATGAAACAGAAATAAGATTCAATATGTCTGCACCTTAAGGCAAAAGTTAAGGCCCCTACCGCACTATGACGGTTCGTCCCGGGACACACCTGTCTGGAGTTTAAAACCTTTGAATTGGAGTGTAATGTACCGCACCTATTAGTATTAACGCCCAATGTTGGCGCATTGAGTCCCGAGCAGTTGTGAATTGCTGCAAAATCGGTGGGGCAGGACTATCTCAGGTCCCGAATAGAGTAACCTCTGTGATTATAGAGAAATATGTTGCTGTCTACCGCATTAGGACAAAACTGTCCCAGACTTTGTGGCGTTTGCTGTCGAGGTCGTGGCGCTTTCCAGTGTTGTGTTAACCTCATTTTCTGCTTCTCAATTCTCAACTCTTTTCCCTGACCTGCAGTGGCTCGGTTGTTTCTAAAGTATACACAGTCTATTGTCACGTGTTAGAATTCTCATCAAAATGGATGTTCATCCGAACTGGACAGAAAACTTTACTAGAAATTTGTAAAGTGTAAAGTAAACCATGTTTGTACTATAAGACTGATTTAGACTATTGTAATCGAGACGTAAAAGCCAAGGCATGGACAGGAGTATGTGAAACAATCGTATCTACTCACTAAATGTATGATGGTTGTCAAAACTTTCAATTTTTATTCTATTTAGGATCTCGAAGGTCACCATAAAGCCTATGCAAATGACCCTTGAGCTATCTTTGGGCCATCAAAGGATGCACCCCAATAGTGTTTCCTCTTTCTGTTTTTCTAATACAAAGCAACAGAACACAGACATATGCAACCTCGATTTCATCCATCTTGAAGTTGAAGGTCCAATCTTGGCCTGGTGCATGCTCAATTTTAATAGTGAAAAAAACCCAAGAAAACGAAAAACGCATATTATTTAACTGGGTAGTTGGGCATTAAAGTGCGTTTCCTCGTGTGATATTTGCTAATTTTGGGTCGTTGATCACGAAAACCTTAAAAAAAACTACATTACCTTATTTTTTTGATTTGGCCAATATAAAATTTTTTTTCTGGAATGCGTTTTTAGCTCTGCCTAGGGCAACATCAAAGAAGCCGTCTTATGTGCCGGATCAGTCCTGTCCTCTGTTTTGAAACGAAAAATTTGACTGTGGGACAGAGTAGTCATATATTTGGACATGATTACTGTCGTTGTGAGGTAGAGGCTTAAAGTAGGCTATAGTGTGACTATAGGAGGTCTTGATCCTACTCTCAAAAGAAAAGTGTTATTGTTTGGGAGAAATACCGCGGACCACATAATCCTCGGTCAACCCCGTCCCGTGGTAATGATTATCTGAACAGTTGAAAACCTAAAATGAGTAAGCCAATAATTGCACCACCAGGTGCCTCATAAGCAAAATGTTTGTTAAAGATGGCTGACCAACTAAGTAGACATAGCAATGGCAAAGATTCAAAATGATTTTAAAAATTAAAATAATAATTTATAATACTCACTACTCTGCAGTTCAGAAAGTTAAAACTGAGATGTTTTATTGAGACTTGGTGGATTCATATAGTGAGTGAGATTTGACCCTGACAGCTAAATTGATTTCTTATCCTATAATTTTATTTGTTTTACTGTCTTAATTTTGTCCAAAAAAATTCAGAATTAAACGCTCTCCTTTGTGACAATTATCATGTTTGTATTCAAAATAGTAAAAACAATGCTTCCGAGAGTGGTGCTGGCAAACAAATCAAATATTGCATGCATGGTCTGTGAAATTGACTTTAGTAAAGTGTTAAAGGGGGGTGAAGAGTTTGGAAATAAGGCGTCTGAGTATGACCTGGTGAATTTTTAGTGTAAAATGATGAAAGTAAGAATAGAAAATAGAGTCTGGAAACAAATAGCAGGAAATGTTCGCATAGTATCTGAAATTTTGCCGCGTGGGCCATGGGCCATCGTATCATGGACTGACCTGACACATCCCTTTATACTAGCTCGATAAAGTTGAACTGTCGACATTAATTATGAATAAATTTTATGAGTATTCCTTTTACCTTACAAAGACCTGTCCTTTAAGAGACAGCCAGTCATTTATATTACTTCTTTCACAGACAAACAGGTGATGATGGCTTGTGCCAAGTTGTCCTCGAAACTCATAATCATATATGGAGTGCCGTCCCTTTGCATGTTCTTGGGCTGGGTCAGCTTAAATGGACCATCGGGATTGGTGCAAAAATGCAGGTCATTTTCATTTCAGACTTGTAATGTTTGATGGAGAGGTACGAGAGAAACATGTCATTGCCAGGTGTGGAATGTATGGAGGTGCAAAAACAACAGGACAATTTATAATTACAGTATAATCCACTTATATCGACAGCGGATATGTGGACCTTTTGACATATCGACATATTTTCCAGTTATGAAATTTTTCCTTCAACATCTTCACCAAACAGTTTCTCTTATATCGACTTTTTTCGGCCCATCCTGGTTTATCGACATGCCTCCAAGGTACCTGGCGAAGCCCTCGAACGTAAATGTGGGAAAAAGGCCACGCTTATGGTCAATGCATTAGTTCTTCATTAAGTCCGCATACTTGCCAAGTAGCCTATTCGACACACCAGGCTTTAGTAGGTCATGTAGGGTCTACACTGTGGAGTCTCCAACACAGTACAGTGCCTCTCAGACGTGAACGTCTCTGGCGCTGGGCATCACTTCCCTGCCCCCACTCCCAGTCGCTCACTCCCCTTTCCCATCCCATTCTCATTCTGTCACTGGCAAGGGCCATGGTCAGCGAGTCAGTGCCTCGCCCTTCCATCATTTTCCCCAGCAAGTGGCCGTAAACAGGCCTTACAAGGATGCTTGCGCCTCGTGTTGCTCGGTCTTCGGTACCGTAACTCCAATCCCCCTCCTCTCTGCCTCTTGTTATTTTCACAGTGTAGTTGTGTTAGAATCAAGGTAAGCAACCAGCTTTAAAAAGTAGTGTTGTCTTTTTACCGCTGACCTCCCCTTGATTTTTCCTCTTTGGCATTATATTTCATTTACTGACAGTTTGATATATCGACATCAAATCCACTTCCCAGAGCTTGTCAATATAAGCGGATTATACTATAATTTGCTGGCTGTAAATTATGATGGGTAATTTGTTTTTACAGGAAAGGCAGAATAAAATTTTATCCTAACTCCGAACCTTTCTTCATTTTATTTTTCAGTTTATGCTCCGCTCAGAAGTTCTGAAACTGTACCGAGACTTGCTGAGGATAACGTTTAAGGTAGAGAACCCAAGCTATCGCAAGCAGCTTCAAGAGTGGATAAGAAGTGATTTTGAAATGAATCGTCATCACACTGAAGAGGTTTGTATCTCTATCAAATATTATTGATGTATGGTGACTTTGGAATCTCTGTCCTTGTCTTCTGAGCTTTCAGCCTTAGCTCACTAAACTCACTTCATCCTTATTTAACTGTTCCACAATCACCCATCACTTGGGCCAGTCTGTGCACCTAAATCAATTTATCGTCCGATAGTTTTGATTTCATGGAATGTTGTCATATAAACTGATTATAAGGAATTCCTATTTAGTGAATACTATCTTTGTGATTTTTGTTTGCCAGATTCTTTTGGGTTCTACCAATTAAAAAAACACCTCCCCCTCCTGAATATAAGAGAGAAAGTAACAGCTGCTTGAATTTTGACACTTATCCGACACTTTTTTCTCTATTAATGGATGTTATGTCTTTGAGCCAAGTTAGAATTGTGTGGACAAGAATATCTTCTCTGGACCAGGAAATCGGACATGGATGGACATTTATTTATTTAGTCAGAATGAAGAACATGAGGAGGAAGAGAATGGAGCTAGTATATCTGTGGATCACACTGGACTGACCAGAAAATGGGGATTGGGGATAGGCAGAGAGAGGGAAACCTTGACTTTCATATATGTGGGACCTAGACTGGCTTTAAATGTCGACATGAATTCATCAGCCATTGATATTTTCTCCTTTTTTGTCACTCTTGAACTCCTAAATTCTAAATTGCAGTAACTCCTCAGACCCAATATTTTGAATGTCTTAGCGGAGGTACGTATCAGCCAAAAAAAAAAAAGCAGTGACAGGGGAGTTTCTAAGTGATACTTGTGCACATTATTAGATCTTATTACAATGGACGAGGGG